TCATAACGCTCTTCGCCGTATAACCACATTACAACTCCTGTAATGGGCGAATTCTATTGATATTGCCGCTGCTACTGGATAGTGCTCCGCAGCAGTTCCGGAATCATTTTCACGTTGTTTTAGTTTTTGCAGCATGGTGCCAAGACGGTTGTACATCCCTTAATCTATGAATTCTGCAAGCATCACTTTAAATTCTAGAACTATATTATTGCAGTTCGGATTTTAAAAAATCGTTTATCATTTTGGGACACGCTGTATATTGAAATTTTTAAATAATGCAAACAGGGGCTCCCCCTTCCGTACAAGCTTGTTTCCAAAAGAAATTAAATTTATTTAAACTAATTTCATACCTTTACAACAGAATGTACTCTTCTCAGGAGGACATGAATGTCCTCTGTTATATCTCAAGGATCTATCAACACGCAAACTGTTTAAAAATGTCTGCTAAAGGAAAAGCTTTTACAAATGAGATTAGAAATTTGCCCCGGAAATCTATTCTTAATTTTTAGTTGATAGGGATTAGTTGGGTACCGTCGAAGGCTTAAAAACGATAATATCCTGAATCCTTTTAAATATTTTAATCCGCTTTTATTTCAAATCTATTCGATAGTTCAACCTGGAGAGTTCTTTTTACAATTCACATGGTTCACAACACATCCTGTCGGTTTTTCCATAAAATAAACTCAAGCAAAATAATGTAAATAGGTAATATTTAGTTATTTTTTTTGCCACCATGTTGAAATAATAACATAACTACTAGGAGTTAAGCACTAGCGCCATTCAGTTATAATCATTCACACAATTGATTTATTTATGAATATAAATTATTTATTTACTAATAAAACGTATTTTAATTAAATCAATCGCTGAACAGTCATTATAATAATTGAACAATCCCATAATCCGCACCGAAATCGGCTGAATTCATATAGAACCGTACCCGTTGACATTTAATCCCTTATTTGTTGTACCGTTTGTATGATTCGGCAAACCCCCAATTTATGTTTTACCGGATTTGTGACTGCCGCAGAATTGATTGTTGTTTTTATCTGGAAAAAAAGCTGTTGTTTAGAATAGAAGTGCGCGATCTATACGGGAATATTTTCTGAAATGATATATTGCTTTAATTTGTAACAATTTATGCTGACCATTATCTGCTTTGTCCATTATGCAAAGTATATACGGCGAAGGCAATTATTATTCCATGAATTCCGAAAGCGATAGATGTCTCATAATGGTTACATGAACGAGATGATTACAGTCATTGTAATTCCCACCTGTCCTTTTTAACTTTTTTGTAAACGTCCATTGTACCACCCTGTATGATAACGGGCATGTTCTTTGTTTAAATTCTGTTACATCAACTTATATTAGCGAAATTTTGCATATTTCAAAAATTATCAAGGAAAGAAACAGAGAAGAAAACAAAGAAAAAGAAATAAAACTAATTTCTGATGCCATAAGGTACCGTCATCATTGCCATTGTCATAGTCACTATAATTTCCAATGTTTCAAGTATGACATTAATGTTATTTTTATTTTATCTCTTGATGAGCGCACTTTTGCTCACGAATTGTACTTGTGGCATTGTCGATGACTTGCAAGTTTGTAGGTATGCCAAGCTCAACTTAAGTGGGCTTTATCTTTTTCAGTCCATCAGTTGGCTAAATCAAATGGTAGTTGATAAACGTACAGTTAGAATACAAACAAATAGAAATAACGAGCTCCCATTGCTGGAAATTTTACGTATGGTAAACTAATCTGCCTTTAAAACATTGCAGTATGTTATATACATTGTAGAAAAGTAAAATTAATTAACGCATAAGAGAGAGCAAACTTCTGCGTGCAAAAACCCTGCTAAAAGCACGCCTGGCCAATAAACAAAATGGCACACCATAAAATAGAAAGATCCGTAAAAATATTAATTACGTTCGTGAGGTCGCCCGTTGAATTCGGGCACGAAAATCCATTATCTCCCAACGCGAATATTAATTTCCTGGTTTGGAAATTTGAATGTAACGTTTTTAAAAAGGAATCTCATCACCGTTCTCTTTGAAATAGTCTTTTTCTAAAACGTTCAGCGAGGAGTGATTTATTTACTTGTTTACCGTGGGCGGTGACATAGAAATTAAGATTTCTGGAAAGTGTAATGAAAACATAGTTACCGAATGTCTAGGCGTAAAGAATGACACTCTATTGTTGTGCTAAATTGGAATTTATAATTATTTTCGTGGTAAAATAAATCTAAATAGCATCGCGTTCATAGGCATCGAGGTTTTAATAATTAAATAAAAGGCATATCTGCGATATCAAAAGGCTCTTAATCTTTACCCAGTTTACGGTTCAGATCGTCCGAATCCGTCGACTACTAGTGAGGGCATCTGAAGAGATTGCGGTAGGACCCATCGCCGACTGGATCCTTCAAAATGAGAAAGATATCGAAGGTTTCTCCTAGTTCGGTTTAGCGGTTTTTAGGGTAATAGCATCGTGGTCAGTCCTTCAGACGTCCGTTCCATCGATTTATTGATTATGTGCAGCGGAACACAGAGCTTTGTACACAAGAGAAAGATATATTTGAATAAAAAAAAAACTCGATGAAAATAGTTTCTTTAGGATATGCTTGCAATGAAAATCAAGAGTTAGATCTACTATTATAGGCTATTGATTATATCCAAAAAACAGGGTTAAAGGAACTATGACGTTCAAGTAATTTTATTACATGAATCGTTCAATCGGTCATTTTAGATGAAAAAACCGCAGAGTGCTATTAAATTAGAGGGTGGAAATTGGAGATAGGGGTGAAAATGCACCCCTTTCAGTTTTTTAATTGTAGCTCGAAAACTAAGCAAAATTTCGCTATAGTTCATAGGAAAAATTATTTAGAGAATTTAATTTCCCCTCGAAATACGTTATTTAAAAAATTTAAAAGGAAAATTTTATGCAAAAAAATCGTTAATAAACGATTTGAAAAAAAGCAAAAAATTCGATTTTCTGATTTTGTTTTACTTTTTTGCCTCTAGTTTTTTTTGAGTAAAGATAGGTATGGGCATTGCTTAATAGGAAAAAATGTAGATAAAATTTCCTTCAAAACGAGAGGTTGTAAAGTATTTTTGGATGAAAATTGACTGATATATGGCCGCTCAAACTTAACCAATTTTTCGATTTTCGTCGCGTTTATCCCTATACGTTTTAATTCTCATTTTTGCAAAAAAGGAAGGAAATAAGACGTTCAAGGATTTTCATTACATGACTTATTGTTCGAATGGTTATTAAAAATGAAAAAAACGCGGGGTGCAATTAAATTAGAGGGTTGAAATTGAAGATAGGGGTGAAAAAGCACTTTTGCAGTTTTTTAAATATAGCACGAAAACGAAGCAAAATTTCGATATATTTCATAGAAAAATTTTTGTAGAGAATTGAATTTCTCTTCGAAATGGCTTATTTAAAAAATTAAAAGGAAAATTTTATGCAAAAAATCGTTAATAAAAAATTTTAAACAAAGCAAAAAATAAGATTTTTTTGATTTTTCTTACTTTTTTAATAAAATAATTTAGTAAAAACTTGAGAATTTAAGTACAATAAAGTTTATTAATAATGTATATACAGTGTGTCCACGGATGGAGTTGACAAGATGAGAAACTCTTTTGTTTTTGACTGTATCGAAAAATGTCACTCTTTATAAAAAGTTCTGTCCCTCGAGAAAATGAGACTGTAATACAAACATCTTAGATTAGATATGCAGAGTGCTCATAAATTAAAAAAATACTTAAGGAAAATTTAATTTTTTTTCTATTTTAAACTTAAAATGCAGCATTTTCGCATTTTCATAAACTTACCAAAACCTCTAGCTTTTATTAGTAACCGTACCGAAGTCCGTTCACATCCGCAGCACGAAATTTAATTTAGAAGACAGAATAGGTCATAACCTAGCCCATTACTTCGATAACAAACAAACTGCGAAGCTCTCCCTGACGCCCATCCACTGTAAATGAACTTTTAACCTACTTTGGATGTACGACGGTGCCCACTTAATCCACTCCCGATTAAGCTAATGATTAGGGAAGGCTTAGGACAAAGCTACATAATAGCCAAGGACGTGTACAGCGCTGCACATATTTAAACAAGCTAAAGTTATGTCGAAACGTGAAATATCTTCATGGGAGAAATGATCGGGCGAAACGGGTTCTGCTTTCATTGTTTCACGCGCTACAAAGCGACTGGATAATAGGTGAGGCGGATTCTGCATCAAGATCTATATTTTCCTTGAATTTTCCTTGCAATATCAACTTTTTGCAACTGTTGAATTACCAAATAATCATTATCTTTAGTTTTGAGATCATCATCAATAAATAGATATTCACATTCTCTTACAAAACAAGTCATTTATGAATAATAAAAACAACAATGGCTCGAGATTTGATCCCTGGGGAACACTAGGGGAATACAATGGTCATCGGACTGATGATCATTGTAAGCAATGGATTTTCAGGAAGTTTATTGGCAGTTTGCTGTTTCCAAAAAAAATTACTATCCTGAGATCTGATTGGACGCCCCTTCATTTAAATACATACGCTTGTAAGTTAAAAACAAACGATTACATGTTGGTATGCGCCTACTACTCCGAATATTCTAGTTTTGCCTCTTAGCAGTCCTATCAAATATATTTGAATAAAAAAGCTGTCGTATCTAACTCAGATCATCTAACTCAGACATCTGCAATTGTCGCCTAAGAAGAGGCACGTCTACAATGTTCTTATATTAGAACACGACACAATCAATTTTCCCTGAAGACTTTCTTACAAAAGAAGTCGTGATGTATCACCTTCGGGTTGTAGGGGCCAAACTACTGACAGAAATTGGATATAGATTGAATATCGACTTTCCCCTGGCGGTTTCCGCGCTATGTGCCCCGTAACTGTCGCGGAATTTACAGGGAAATAAGCAAATTAAAAGTTTTGAAACACACAGTTTAGTTGTGCTACACTATATTTCTTTTTCAGATGCATAATTCCACGGAGAACGTGGTGGTTCTGTCCTCGGTGCAACTTTCCTCGACGGGGATGTACAGGTGCGAGGTTTCCGGGGAGGCCCCTTTCTTTGAAACTGTCACTGATCATCAACACATGATGGTTGTTGGTAAGTTCTTTGTTTTTAATATAAAAGTTACAGACCGCATACGGTTATGTTTTAATCGCAATTTCTGTTTATCCGTCCCAAAGTGGTTATTAGTTACATTAAAAATCCTATATGAGTAAATAAATCATGAAAGCGTCTTATGAAAAAGAAATGGTCCAAAAACTGATCCTTGAGGAATGCGTAAAAGGCAATTGACAATTCCAATTATTCGGATCACAATGAAAGAAAAATCGCAGCGGTTTGAACTCTTGGGAGTGTCTTTGGGATATTTTGAGATTAAAAAAACCAAAATCAAATAAAAATTTTGAATTTTTTCTCTCCGTCAATTTGGGTGTTAATGAACTTATGTCAAAAATTTAAAGGGGTGAAGAAAGTGAACTGAGTTAACTGATGTCACAAACTTGCATCGGAAGTTTAAGGTCCTAGAGAAAAGGCACAGCATATTTTTAAATTGAAATTTTGATTGTATGTTTCACTTTATTTCTTGCAGTTTTTTTGAATTAGTACTATTGTCTCAAGAATGATTATGTAAATTTGTTTTATTTTCGTAAATTTATTCGAACAAAATGTTAGTCTTTAAGATATGCGTTATTAGATTTATATAGTATTACAAATAAAAAAGTTATTGAGATTTAAATAAGTGTTCCTCTAATTATTTTGAGCAGTGTATATGATTTTAAGTTTCTAAGGATTGGTATCCCAATTTCGGTTTTCTTTATTTCGAAGGGTATTTGTTCCAAATCGAACACATTGCCGGGACTCTTTGAAACGTAACTACAGAGATATACGTAGCACCGTAGCAACCGAATAAGACAGGATCCTATACTTCGTCCTGAACTAATTTAGTCTTTTAAAATTGCTTTCGATTTTATGCCCCTCTCGATCCATCGGTGCAGTTTACATATCTAAGCCTCGCGCAAATTGAAAGTGCAAATGAAGCGGAATAAAATCCATAAAACAAATTAATCGACTAAATTGTCTCTTGGATCGGTGAGGGTGGATTAAAACGGCCGTAAAAAATACATTACAAACGGCGCCCGGGCGAATTCAAGAAAAAATAGATACAAACAAAAAAGTAATTACTTTTTTAATTAGATCGCCACACTGCTGAAATAACTTTTCTCGCGGATTATAATTTCCTTAATGAAATGTAGTGCGCCCGGTTGCGAGTTAACACGGTGCTCCGCGCCGTGAGGAATTTCCTTAGTTTCTACAGTCAACACCCATTAAAATATTGTTGCAGGTACCTGCCTCTACTTTTTAATTAATTTACTCCTTCCGAAAATAAAATTAAATTACTGTAAGCCAATGGAGGCCGCAAAAGTGCCGAAATTAATTTAATTAATTTTCGGTTTCAACTTTCTAAACACACAGAGGGAAGCTCAGTCGGTTATAATGCCTTCTCTATATCAAAGCGTTTTTCATAACATAACATAACGAAATAAGTTGAAGAAAATAATGTGAAGGAATTCTAAAAAATTTTTATATTTGAGATGTTTGTGAATCATCAAATTGCACTGATTCCGCAAAATAGCTCTAGATACGTTCATTTTATGAAAAAATCCATTCCCGTATATTAAAACTGAGTTTCAGTTAAAAATAAAATATTACATGAAAAAAGAAAATCTAAAATTTGGACAGATTATGTCTTAAAAAAGCAGAGTACTAAGGAACTACAACAATGATGGGTTTTTATTGCATGAATCGTTCAAATGGTTATTCAGAAAGAAAAACCGTGGAGTGCTATTAAATTAGAGGGTGGAAATTGGAGATAGGGGTGAAAATGCAATCCTTGCGGATTTTTGAGTATATCTCGAAAACGAAGCAAAATTTGAGGATGTTGTATAGGAAAAATTTTGTAGATAATGAGATTTTCTATCGAAATAGTTTATTTGAAAAATTGAAAAAATATTTACTGCAAAATATATTAAAAACAATTTAACAAAAAAAACTCAAAAAATTCAAATGTTTGTTTTTGTTTACTTTTATGCAAATAACTTTTTTCGGAGCAGAGATAGGTATAGGCAGTGCTTCATAGAAAAAAAAAGTGTATAAAATTTCCTTCAAAACGAGAGGTTGTAGATTACTTTTGGATGAAAATTGACTGATTTATGGCCGCTCAAACTTAGTCAATTTTTCAATTTTTGTCGCGTTTACCCTTATACGTTTTAATTCTCATTTTTTTTTTGCAAAAAAGAAAGGATTCGTTCAAGGATTTTCATAACATGACTTGTTCGAAGGTCATTAAAAATGAAAAAACCGCGGGTGCTATTAAATTAGAGGGTTGAAATTGAAGATAGGGGTGAAAATGCACTTTTGCAGTTTTTAAAATATAGCACGAATACGAAGCAAAATTTCGGTATAGTTCATATGAAAAATTTTGTAGAGAATTGAATTTCCCATCGAAATGGCATATTTAAAAAATTTAAAAGAAAAATTTTAAGCAAAAAATCGTTAATAAACAATTTTAAAGAAGGCAAAAAATAAGATTTTTTGATTTTTTTTTTACTTTTACAATAATTTAGTAAAAACTTTATTTATTATTTTACACAACATTTTTATCAAACAAATCTGTTTATAACCTCAAATAATGTCCTAATACAAGTTTGAGCGACCATATATCAGTCAATTTTCATCCAAAAATACTCTACAACCTCTTGTTTTGAAGGAAATTTTATCTACTTTTTTTTTGTGAAGCAATGCCTATACCTATCTTTACTCAAAAAAAAAACTAGAGACAAAAAGGTAAAAAAAATCAGAAAATCGAATTTTTTGCTTTTTTTCAAATTGTTTATTCGATTATTTTGCACAAAATTTTACTTTTAAATTTTTTAAATAAGCTATTTTCAATTCTCTAAATAATTTTTCCTATGAACTATAGCGAAATTTTGCATCGTTTTCGAGCTATAATTTAAAAACTGAAAGGGTTGCATTTTCACCCCTATCTCCAATTTCCACCCTCTAATTTAATAGCACTTCGCGGTGTTTTCATTCTAAATAACCATTTGAATGATTCATGCAATAAAAACCCATCAACGTTGTAGTTCCATAACATATGACATAATCAACAGCCTAATGTTGTAGTGTCACATCTTATTGATTTAGATTTTCATTAAAAATTTGATGCGTTTTTTAGTATCGTCCGCCTTTGTATTGTTTTCTTACTTTTTTATTTCCCCTAGGCTTTTTCAAGCTTTATTTGAAAGCGATCTTTGCGTTATCCACCGCTTGTTCATTTCAAGTCTGCCTTTCGAGAAAATTACCCGATCCCCAACGCCGTGCCCAAAAATTACAATGTAAAATCCTGTGACGCCTTTGAACAATCGGGTGGAAACTTAAAATTCCGTGGAGTTACCCCTTTTATGTTTCAACTCCACAATGGCGAGATCGCCTTCCGAGGCAAATCAACAATTTCAATAACGAAATCGAAAATTCATTTATTGTTAAAACGCCGATCGGTGCGCGGGCTCAACGGCTACTCCTCAGGGACGTTTCTCAATCCGGAAATGTTAGCTTATTTTCGAAGCCTTTGTGCATGGCTCCCACGGGCCACGGGCCTGAGATCTAACGCTTTCGGTATTTAATATCTAAAAGTCCCTCGCTCCAGATAGTATCCAACTGGCAACGTCTCCTACTGCGTTGTATTTCATTAGAACCAAATAAATTTCTATTCCAGTGTAATAATACGCCTCACACGCTCCTTGACTTCTGAGTCAACTCTAGTAATTACACTGTAAAAAAATAATAATTGAAAGCATAAAAAAAATATGTAATAATAATTAAAACTAAAGGAATTGTTCAAAATGGGCACCATTTTCCCTGATCAAAAATTTATTCTTCGCCGAAAATTGTTTACTCTGTCTAACAAATGATGATCGTTTCTTATAAGGTTACATTTATTTGTAATACGATTCCACAAATTTTCTCGGGATTCAACTGGCGAAGAATAAACAAAATCCTTCAATGTTCCCCAAAGGAAATAATCACATTTGTTGAGGTCTGGTGATCTTGGTGGCCAATTTTGAAGACAACTATTTCCTCGACCTATCTATTTATTTGGAAACTTAGGGTTCAAAAAATCTCTAACAGTAGCACTAAAATGAGGTGGTGCTCTATCATGCATAAACTAAAGCTCCAGTCTAAGTTGCAACGGTAAATCTTCCATTAGATCAGGGAGGGTATTTTGTAGAAGTTCCAAATAACCTTCGCCATTTAGTCGATTTGGCAAAATAACTGGTCCAATCAAATAACGATCAATAAGACTCGCGTTGAAAATGTCGAGGAGTTATTGCATAAGGGATATTCATGAATGTTATGAACATTCGTAATTCCTCGACGAGTAAAACAAGCCTCATCAGTAAAAAGAATTTTCTTGTGAAAATTAATATTCTGATGCAAACCAAACTCACAAAACGTCACTCGTCGATCCAACTCTTGAGAAAACAATTCTTGCACTTTTTGGACACGATATGGATGCAGTAGATTACGTTTAAGAATTCGGTTTACAGAAGTTCTTGATAACCCAGTCTGTCGAGATAAACGTCTAGTACTTACTTGCGGTTCATCTTCAACTGTTTGCAAAATAATTACTTCATTTTGTACCCCTATTACATTAGGACGTTTTCGAATGTTACTGAAAAACTTTCCTGTCTCTCGAGCTCGTCTTTCGACATTAGAAAATGTTTCTCTATGAGGAACCACACGATTAGGAAATTTCCTACGATATTCTTTCTTCGCTAAATGTAAATTTTCCAGCCATTTTCAACAAAAATCAGAGGCAATTGTTGAAATAAAATAATTTTAGTATTGATAACTTTGAAAGATACATTCATTGCCTACTACTGACTTTTTGATTATTTTCTAATGGATACTAACTTGTGTATCAGTTAAAACGGTTTTTCTTGAAAACCATAAAGTTTTTTTAAATTTAACAAGAGTAAAAAAAATTTAAATTAAATTCTGCTGTGAATTAATATTACTGTGTCGGTTCTTATGTGGGA